CTGAGGCTCGCTTGCGCTCTCTGCGCGGAAGAGCCAAACAAAGACTCGTGGTGCTACACCGCCCTAGTGGTATCCCCTAAGAATATGCAACTACTCGCCGCGAAAGGCCGGGTCCCTCCCCGACCCTGGACTCATATATTTAGAGGGGGCGAGGAGTGCGGGAGGATGGGGTGGGTGGGTGAGGTGTTAGGAGTACCCGCAGTGCAGGAACCTTCCCGGAACCCCGGCAAACCCTTGTGCACTTGGGGTGGTTTCATTAAGGAACCCAAATACATGGCTTCTTTTTGGGCCCCAAAAAGCCATTCCACCTACCCAAATGTCACCTACATCTTAAAAAGGCCCGTTTCAGGTCCAACACTGGCTGACGAGGGTCCATAGCCCACAACTGTACGTTCGACGTGCCAGCAATCATGCTGAGCCTCTAACACGAGTCCCATGAATCGGTAGAGCCACTTGAGTCAAACCTTGACTGAGATTGCTTTGACGCACAAGAATGTCAAGAAGGGAACTCCTTTACTCAGCGCTTCAATGCTGTGAGTTAACATTTTCCACCCATTTCCTGAGCAATATTATTGGTGGCTTGGATTGGTGGCTTTGTCCATCCGGGGGAGGTTTCCAGAATCTAGGTGGGCTCCGGGCATTGCGGTTCAAACCTTATTGGCACCTTGCCGCCCAGCTATTCGCAAAGCGAAGCTGCGTAGTCCACTGCCTTTTGCGTTCATCTAACTGTTCGTGTGCAACAATTCCGCAACCAGACATGAGGGATCCCCAAGTAAAGGGTTGGCGTCGTGGTGAGCTCATTTTGCCCCCCAAGTGAGGCAAAAAAAAAGCAGATTCATGCATGTTCCGAAAGCAACTGCCTCGAAAGTTCATTGCAAGTTGCAAGGAACAACTATGACATCTTCAAGATTGCCCTCAAAATAGTGGTTTCAAGGGAAACCACCCACATGTGTACTTGTTGACAACCCCTCAAAGTGCAACCACTTTCAGGGATCTAGAAGCAAACACACTGTCGGCAGATCCTTTTTGAGCGCGCTTCCCTCACCCGAAGATGTGTCTTTGGAAAACCAGATGCGAGAGGCCCCGATTCGGAGCAAATTCACTTCTTGCATGCGGAAGCTGTGCCCGTTTGTTTGTGTGAGTGGCAGTTGTTGATTTTCTTAAACATCGCATTAGCGAATGGCATGCCGCTCCTCACTTGCGACTATTGAACTGGACTTGGCAAGGAGGGGGTCTGGAACAATATGCATGATCTATTCCCTTGTGGTAACCTTTAGGGAAACCGACACTTGTTTGCCCATTCCGAGCCTCGTGAATTCACGGGTGTTGGTTCGGGCATCTTATCAGGGAATATGTTGTTGTTGTTTTATTGATTTGAGACCAATTTGAGACATCAAACTTTAGTCAAACGGCATACACATCGTCACATCGTCACTTTCCTGCTTGGGCTTTTATCATGCCGTCGAACTCATGGCGTGGTTCGTCCAGCGCAGGTCAATCAGTTTGCATGTTGTAGCATGAAGACTTCCTGAGTGGAGTGGCCACCGCAGTCAGATTCATTGGGTGCTACATAGGGAGTCCGGAAAAAAAGAAAAAAGAAATAAACATTAAAAAAAACAAAAAAACTATCCCCTGTTGGTGTCCTTGGGGAAAATCACAATGGGCAACTTTAGACACGGTCTTCCGCCAAAGAAATACCGGCTTCTTGTGTTCCAAGTGACACCCTGCTCTAGCTGCCATCAACTTGGCTCAGCTTCACATGCGCAACGCCAGACGCCGAGAATTTCTCGACTTCCTTTTCGCGCGCTCTCAGCTCACGGCTCCCAGGGCCACAGTTTGTGGCCCTTGGAACTTGCGGAACGAGGGCGCGGACAAGATCTCAGGGGCAAATTGTAGGGGTTGATGGCTTAAGTTGGCAGGTGTAGATAGATTGGAGCAGGAGATCTTAGGGCAAATGATTTGAAGGGATTCTAAGCCCTCCCCCCTGTTTATTCCCAAATAAGACCCTAACAAGGCCTTATGAAGGCCTTCTTCGGATGAAACCGGAGTTGGGGGTTAAGTGAAATGATTTATGAAGGTGATGCCTACCATCAATTGTGTGTATATATATATATGTATATCTATGTATGTACGTAAGGCCACCCCCTCAGACCCAGCATGTTCATTCATTGTGTATACTGAATGCTGACCAAATGGCATCCTATGCAAAAGCACTGTAAATATTATTGAATTCAGCATGTCTTGTCCAGTGTATATATACATATATATATATATATGTGCACTGTATATACAAGCACATCCTCCGTTCCTTGGTGTGGTCATGGTTTGGTCTTTGCCTCAGCTCGTGCGGTGCGCCGGTCTAACAAAAAAATGCTGCAGGACTGCCACGAAACCAGCCGCCCACGCGAAACTTCAAGCAATCTCCACAGATTTGAGCAATTACCCTGCTTCGCAAGCAGTGGACCAGCTTTTGAAAGTTACCCCCACGCTTCTTGTCTTCAAGAATGGCCATTCAATTTGTAACAAGACCTCCATGCACGTCCAATCTGCGGGCTTTTCCATGTGGAAAATTGGGAACGTACTTTAGGCTGGAGTTTGAAGGGAAACCACTGGAAACCTCCAATTTTGCGAGCTTCCCTTTCTGGGTGCGTGCTTTTGAGGGTCCACTTCGGGGGCCAAGGGAAACCAATGGAAACCACCGTTTCTGGCAGTCCCCGTAGTTTGACGATGCCTTGCAGACAAACTCTGGTGTGAAGCTTCGGGGCCTTGGGCTTGAGAACTTGAGTCCAGTCCCTCACGGGTCACACGTCGAAACCAGGGCCCAGTTGGATCACCGCACAGGTGGCGTTGTCCTGGCAAGTGCCAGGCAAAACGATGTGGGGCTTGGACGATTCTTCCCTTGTGTAAGACATGGGCAAACCACGGATTTTGTTGAAACCTTCTTTCGGCGTCCCTATAGCTACACTGCCAAATGAACTCCAGCAGAAGCCCCATTGGAAGACGGTCCCTTTTCAAGGTTCGACGTGGGCTTCAAAACCGCAGGCTCTCCGGCTGCCCCTGCGGCTTCCACATGTTTGAGTACTGCGTGTGATGCGTTTCACTTGGCACTTGGTCTGACAGAAAGAGCGTGACATGACAAATGGCACTCCCCTAAGGTATGTTCACACATTCTCAGCGGTATCCATTCCTGTTCACTGTTGTTAGGGTGAACAGAAGAGCCGATACGAACAACTGAAACTTATGTAGTGTTGAACAAAAATGGTGACCCTTTGGAGTGCCGATGGGATTGCGCCCAGCAAAAGGGACTGGGTCCAAGCGGATTCAGCGCGGGCCTTTGGGCTACATGTGGGTGACTCTAACAAAGGGCTCGGATACAAGTTCCACAATTGTGCTTTGGTGCAAGCTGGAACCAATTCACTAGATTCCGCTCCATGTGCCACCAAAGCATTGCGGAACCACCTTTATTTCCAGCACCCTCGCCAACATGCCAACCCCAAACTGGTTTCCAGCTGGGTCGAAATCGTAGGCAGCTTGCTGACTTCCCCACCCAATTACTTGTTTCTGATGGGAATGAAGCAGCCAACCATTTCCTACAAGAACCTCATTCCCAATTTCTTTAACAACAAGCAAGAACCCCTTTTGGCATAACACCAGCTTAGCAAAAAATTGCTTCAAAACCCACTCCAAAACATCATGTCGGGCGCGTCCTGCCAAAGCCATAAAAATCACTGGATTGTTCGCAAAAAATGCCCGTAGCAGGGGATAAGATCTTCTCACCCAGATTGCAGAATGGATTGACTTGATCTGCTTTAGGTTCTGTGAGACTACAGCCGCACAAGACCGAAAGCGCCCTCCAGAGAGCAGAAACAAAATCGAGAACACAAGAGCAGACCAAACCTCGAAAACCCACCGCAGTTCACACCAGAACCACAAGGAAAGGTTAGGAGCACCTGCTAATTTCTGGTACACCCCAGGCCCCTGGAACGATTGGACAATCCAAAGCAGGGATGCGGGGACAAGCATGAGGGATTAGTGGAATAATCCCAAAGCAAACAAATGCTGGAACAAATACTCCAAATCAACACACTTCTCACTTCAAAGATTCCGGAAAGGGTCAACCTCTCGGTTGCCCAATCAACGCCGAAAAGAGCACTCACATACTGGTTTGACCTGTAGGAGCCAACCTGAACAGGAAGCAAAACACGAGGTTCAGTTTCAGTCGATTCGCTGAGACCCCGCGGCCCCCGCCTGGGTCGAGTCGAGCGCTTCAAAGATTACGTCAGCAGCCGCCTCCACCGCCGGCTCAGAGGCGGCGCCTATCCATCCACGTCTCGTGTGTGTGTGTGTGTGTGCTGCTACACCTCCCCCCTCCCAAAATGGCACAGATGCCCAAAACATTGCAAGTACACCAACCATACACTAAAACAAAAACGCATAATATAAATTACAGGTAGATGGGTTGCAATGTTGGGCGCATCCCCCGTAGGGGTCTCCATGACCATTGAGGGGCTTGCAACAATACAACCATATACATATCATATGTATATATATACTATGTATACACACGTAGACGTACACACATACATGTCTTAGTGGCTCACTGATCCCTTGCTGAAAGTTGAATTTCAGTATGACATGACAAAACTCCTTGTAAGCCCAACAGTCTGAAGCCTAAGGTATGCCTGGGCCACCGCCGAGATGTATATGTTTGGGTTCCCCTTTTGGACGATATGTGTACACACATATGTGTACGTATGCATGTACAAATAGGCTGGCCCAACAGATGATGGCCTTTTTCCGATGCCCTTGAAACCAACCCCGAGGACACGCTCAGAACACCCGCGCACACACACACGCATGAGTATGTACATATATATATATATATATACACATATGCACAAATACACGAGTGTGTATATATATATATATGACCCCCCCCCCTCGCCCCCCAACCCCCGCCCCCCCCCCCCCCCTAATCGGTGGGGTGGGGTGGATGGGTG